ATCGCTATTAGGTTGGAGGCCATCGCTATAAGGTTGGAGGCCATCGCCTTTCCCTTTCTGCCAGGTCAAGGCCCTTCGCTGTTGCCCACCTACACGCAGGAGGAGTTCCAGTCCACGGCCGCCCGGCCTGGACGTGGTCGACGGGGGGCGGTAGGTGGTCGGCGATCAGGGGGAGAAGATCGCGTGGCTGCGAATTTGTAGGGATCACCAGCGAGCGGATACGCTTTAAGATGTTTTAATTCTTTTAGGGGATTGGTTTCCAGTAATTAATGATAATTAACAGGTCGGAAGATATGACAACAACATAAGGTGGACAAGAAATGTTAGTTGAGGGGCAATTGTGGGGGTGTCCATGATGAAGAGAGATCCGAAAGACAGAATCCCGTCATGAGGAAAGGTACCCGAGACTAAGTCTGTTCATGTCTTCATGAGGGGAGATCCCAAAGAAAGATTCTCTGAGGAAAGGTCCGCAAGACTAAATCTCTTCAAGAGGAGATATCCTAAAGACGAAATCCCTGCATCAGGAAAGGTCCGCAAAATGCTAAATATAAATCTCTTTATGAACAGGGATCATCCCCAAAGACTAAATCTCTTCATGGGATTTTTGATTGGGAAGACTTGGAGGCCAGTGGGCATGAGGTGGGATCATGTGGAGAACTAGGAGAATGGGCGAGGCATGCCATTGAGCATGAGGGGTGATCAGGAGCCCATATTTGGCTATGCAAGCTGACAGGCATCAGGAAGAGAAGGTATGTGCATCAGGCTATTTCGATTGGGAATGAGCTGGATGAAGCTGAGACTATTCGAAAGAGACATAAGAAGAGGATGGACAGGACTTGTGAGATTGAAGATTCCATCATGAAGGAAGGAGAGGGAAGGAAGGTGGAAGAGAAGGATTTGGGTAAGACCAAATTGGGAAAGGGCAATAGAGATCAGTGGGGAAGTTCTGACCACCACTTTGGGGAAGACCAAATGATTTTGTGGTTCTGAAGAGAGAGTTTACGGGTGACGACCGTGACCACCCCCCTTTGGGATCTTAAACACCTCGTGTGTTGGATAGGGTTTTGACGGATTGTTCTCAAAGATTATCCGGCAATGGTTTGGGATTCTAGGTGGTTTTGGACCTGGGCCAGGTGAAGAGCAACAAGACTCTCACGATATGATAGGTTTTGGCAACATTGAGATGCCATTGAGATTGATTATAGGTATGTTTCTAATAGCTTCTTGTTACTACTAGTAAGGCACTTGTTACTAGAAGCGATGCACTTGTTCCTAGTAGCTTCTTGTTACTACTAGCAAGTGTTGGAGAAGGAGATGGTGAGGAGGCGGATGAAGATATAGGAGAACATGAACTGGTTGAGTATTGAGAAGCAGGTTCCAGCATGTGGGTGATGAACAGACTGCACCTGGGCAGTTGCTGCCCATATGCCAATGTCAAGCAAGGTGTCACGCAAACAGCCAACAATGAGCCAGCGTGAGCAAAAGGTGTCTTGGGGGTAGGGTTTGAGAAGAAAAGGAACAATTGAATTGGACATTATTTTAGTTATATATAGTTAAGTATGCATAAGTATGCAATGGCGCATGAACAACAACTTCGATCTATCTAATTACAGCCCAGACTTGCCTGAACAACGCTAAGCAAAGAATTCAAATGTGACGAGTAAAGAGGGTGAAAAAGGACGTTAGTATTGCTGGATGTTTTACAGGAAGCCAGTTTTACTGATTGGGGATCATTGGACATCATGATTGTGAAAAATGGGCCATAATGTTTTTCGAAAGGCGGTTAGAATCACAGCAAAAATGAAGCGGTTTATGCATAGAGGGGGTTCCTTGATCATGAGTTTATACATTAACGATTCAACGATTAAAGAGGTGGAGCATGGCAAGGTGAACCTTTATGTGTAGGCTTATTCACTCCAACCAACAGCGGTCCAGCTGCTCGTGTCATGGATCATCCGGCCTTGATAGGGTTTGGTTGGTGACCAAGCAGTGGATTTTGACCTACTATGCTGAAAACGTGTGCAGTGTGCAGAAACAGCTTGGCGGGATGAAGCATTCATGTCTTGGAGGGGGATAACTTCCCCAGCCCTTTTATTTGTCCAATTGCTAGTTGTGGTCTTGCCTCAAGAAGGGACCATAAGTTGGTGAACATTTGTCACTGTGATGTCACCTCTGTTCTGAGCCAAGCTTAGACCCATGTCCATGTTTTCCAAGTTCTGTGTAAAGTGTGGGACAAGGTATATCCCCATTGTGTACAATGTTGGCAAAAGAGTTGAGATTTGAATCAAACAATGTTCTTGAACAAAACTGTGGTGACCATGTTGGCAATGGAAGGTTGATTCAGGAGGATTTGAACGAGAACCTGTGTTTGACTCTGGCTTGCATGACACCCTGCAACACCCCTTGGCGGGGTGGATGGATTTGTGTGAGATTTGTATGTGGATCTACTTGGGTGTACATTGGAATTAGGGAGACCTCCCAGTTCGGTACCTTGGAAGAAGGAAACTAGACCAGTCTATTCATTGGTTGGGCGTCTCCTCATTAAAATACCCACTTAGTCCATTGTAACGTTCAACCACAGCGTTGGTGGCTTAGTCCATTGTTTTGTTTCACAGCTTGGCCTCCTTCCGCACCGATCCCTTCCGATCGGTGGGAAACTTGAGGGGTATGTATTGCGCCTGTCCGAATTGACCTGTAACAGTTATATGAGCAACGACTTTTATTTGCGGTAGTGAAGATTAGTCTAGGGGCATTCCTTTTCTATAGCCCCATGTCAGATTTAGTTGGCGAAGCGAGGTAGGAACACCCCGAGAACGAGATGGGCCCGAGATGGGCATCAAATGCGCCATTTGTTTGAAATGGTTTGGTTAATGACATGTTTAGCTTGTGAATCGAGGTAGGAACACCTCTCGAGAACGAGATGGGTATCCACACACCAAAACGAGATACAGGAATGGAGAACGAGATCACACACCAAAAACGATGCGGGATTGGAGAACGAGGTAAGGAAGGTCCATGTGATAGTTTAAAGAAATAAATTCCATCGCTCCTATAGTAAACAAGCAAATCACTGTTTTTGGACAAGGCCTCTACTAACCATCATCATGCACTGTTACAGGGAATAGGATAGACCCTAGGTACGTCATGTTCCAGATGTGCCTTGGTGTGGGAACCTGATCGTCCAACTACATGGCACCTGATGTGCTAGAAGCTTGCACACAATCACACCCTCAAGCCACTAGGTACTGAAATCCTCACTCCCTGTTACTAAACGCCAACGCTTCCGCCAACAGTGGTACATTGTACTATATAGATAATGTTCAGCTGTTCAGCGAGTAAGGGATAAAATAAATGTGTAAAAACATGGCTTCACGATCGCCGGGGATGGGCATCCCTTTGTTTGTTGAAAGAAAGTCCGTGAGTGACTCCCGTTCCCTCCACCAACGATTCGACGCGTGCTGGTCCTCAGGTGGGCGACTTCATCCCCAAGGGTCTCTAAGAGCAGATGATAGGCTGTGAGTGGAGGTCAGGATTTTGAAGCAAATGAGGATGATGCTGGTGATGGTAATGACACTGAGACAATGATGCATGGAGATAACCCCAATTTGTGCTACCTATGTGAGTCATGTTGCTCTTTGATCAAACACTGCATGGCCTTTGCAAGTGTCCCGTGTGCGCACTGCGCTGTTGGTTAAATGGAAAAGAGCTGAAAACAACAGCTCATGAGGAATGTTGCCAGTGAACAAGGTGTTCGACGAACAAGGTGTTCGACCACCTGGCCGGTCTTGAAATGCTCACGAACAGGATGCCCCCTCAACGGTTGGAGATCGTTGGCGATAGATTAGACCCACTTTCAGATATCAAGCAATTTGATAATGGTTTGAACCGTCTACATTAGCAAGCTGTTATTCACAGTTGTTCCAGCAAGGAGACACAATGACACCATGACGCACACCACAGGAGATCACAGAGACTTGCAAGATAAGCAGGATAAGCTGCCAGATAAGCAGGATATGCTGCCCACATTTCGATCGTGGCCTTTCGATCGCCCCGAAACCTGCAAGCTTTGGGCCATTCGGGGACCGCTGCTTTCCGGAGGTCTCAGCCCCCCGCTTCTCGGGCATATTTTGATTGGACCCCGTTAGGAGCGTGACCAAGCCTGACCTCCATGGGCTGAACAGAGGGTGGCACTACCCACCATGCAGCATGGCACTGTGATCGCTCACTGCGTAACGCTTAAGGGGAGCTAGTCATAGAGTTCTGTTCGTCGTTTGTTAGTCAGTTGGAAAATGTTGGAAGAGCCGATGTTGGTGGAGCCCCATTGAAGTGCACACAGTTTTTTAATCGAGATGACATGCCACCCATTAGAGTTTGGAGATCCCCAGCTTGCGGTGAGACGGCCACTGTGCCAAACGATTGTATAGATTCCAATCCGTTTTTTTCCATCTAGCTTAAACCTGACCCAGTCCTTGGACGAAGGTCATCAAAGGCGCACGAAGGTCATCGAACCTGTAGATAGACACTCTAGCAAGGCAGGCAGAAAAAAGGCGGGGGATGATGGGAGTTGCCGGTGCTGGTCAGATGTCGTGGCAGTGGCTTCCATTGCATGCAGTATTAAAAAAAGAGATCTTTAGTCTTTTGCTGGCATTTTTGCATACAGTATATGATATAATATATATATTTTTTTCAGATTTAGTTTAGTGTCTTTGCAAGCCACAAACACAAGCAAACAAACACAACGGCTGGTTTTTGACAAGCCAAAATTAAGATCATTCCTCAAACCTCAGGGCTGCATGTTAGGATGAGACCGAGACCAAAGCATCGGTTGCAGTGCAGAGTCTCTTTTGCCCAGGGGCCTTTGTCATTAGCTTCAAAAAGAAGGCGCAGGTACTAGCTAGGGTGCAGATCAGGTAGGCCTGTAGGCCTTCCAGAAAATGTTGAAGCAACAACATGTTTTGATGTGTTTGGGTGAAAAAGCGATCAGGGAATTAGAACATGTGTTAGTTGGTAGGAAAAGGGAGATGGAGGGGCGACAAGGGCAGCTGGGTTCACGTGGACCAGCCCAGCAAAAAGGAGACAAAAACATCTAGACATGGGCATGGGGGCCGGGTGTTTGTGGCTGCTGATTTTAGCGGAATATATCAATGAATGGGTGTATAATAGGTAACCTATATATATATAT